CCCCAAAACCCCAAAACCCCAAAACCCCAATTACTCTATTAAAACTTGATAAGTTTATATAATTTATCCTAATTCTACTTCTACTCCTCCTTTTCAACCGATTCGAAATGTCAGAATCCCCTTGCACCCAGTCCCCTGGTCCTAAGCCGAGCACTCTATCATCCCTTACGAAGTATCTCACTCATCAGAAGAACAGACATAGTTGTGCCTTTGTACATGGTAAGTTCTAAAATGATGGTTTATTCATAAAAATAGAAACCTTAATCTCTGGATGTATGACATTTTTAGATTTAGCAGCAGCCCAAAAGAAAGATAATAACACTCATTTCTATGTCCAACGAGGAGGTATAGTAGAACCTTCATTTGCGAGGATAGTTTCATATTTTGGAAGATTTGGTGTAACTATTAAACTCTAGCTCGTAACCAAAACCGCAGCCCACTCACAAAGACTCAGAATCCCACTACTCCTTCCAAGAATTCTGCTTTAAAGCCTTGTTCTACTGCTAAAATTTCAAAAAATTTGACTCAGAAATAAAGCGAAACCCAGGAAGTCCAAAACAGGCCTGTACAGGCCAGCCAGGACCTCTATGTATAGACCGAAGGATACTGTAAGCTTTTGGGGGTGGCAAGGAAGGGTGTAGCATACCTGAATGGTTCTGAGGGGGTTAAGCAGACCTCGTAAACCAAGATGTTCAGTTTTTACAACTGCGCTTAAGAGATTTTAGGGGTTGAGTTTGGGGTAAACGGAAATTTTTAACTCTCCTGTTGGTATTTTGGGTATTTAGAGCTGGTTTGAGAATTTTGGAACTGGGTGGGGGCTTAAGTTAAGTTGAAATCGCTCCTGAGACTCATACATCTCAGTTGAATTACAGTCTCAGATTCAAAGTTTATAAATACTTTATGTTTTAATATTTCTAATTAGTTGCCTTTCAGCATCAGTTTGTTTGATTTTTAAAGCATTGATAAATATCTTCGGGAAGACAAGACTCAAATATAGAAGAAGCATCCTCCAATTACAGAATATCTACACAATAACACTGCAAGAGAGGACACCACAAAACAGCAGATTGTAAGCAGCTTTTAGAGTTATCAACCAAAAATTCAAATTTATTGCTTGAAAGGAAAATTTGGAAGCCAAATTCAAAATTATCTATCAAAATTCGAAGGTTGACTTGGACAGTTCTAGATGTTTATTAAAGCCCAAAAACAGCTTAAAACATCTTTTCTGCTTTAGTTTATAAACTACTATATGTCTCCTAGCTCACATTTGAATTTAGAAATACTTGCAGTCTTACAAAAGCATGCTGCCAGCATCAAATTGATACCAAAGTAGCAAGAGCGCGAAGAAGAGTTCTCACGGGTTAAAAGATAAAGGAAATGGGCAAAATAATTCTAGCGGCAACGACTCAGGTAAAGCTAATAGCCTCAATTTTAGCCACACTTCCTACAAGAAGACAACAAATTGTAGCCAAGCATCTAAAAATGAAAGGAGAGCAAGAAAAGAGTATGCGTCATTGCCATTAATTAGGATGAAAACTTTTTATTTGTCATACTGACCTTAAACGTTATTCCCAAAATTTGCTTTTAGAAAGGACTTTTCAGCAATAACTCTGAAGCTCTTATAAATTGCAGCCATTTGGGCCATGCAAGCTCTAAAGCTTGCTCTTTAAACAAATTAGGGGTGCTAGCTTATATTTAGCTTTTAACGTTTATATAGGAATAAAAATAAATCAGGATACTCTCAATGAGATAGTGCAACAGCTACCTAGCAGTTGTAGTTCATCTTTTTGTAAAGGTACTTCAGAAATTGATCGTTCCTTAATATCTATATAGAAAGATCTATGTTTGAAGCCAGCTTTGACTCCCTTTCAAAAGAAAATATAGAGCGTGAGGCTAATTTTGAGACTTCAGAGATTCTAAATTCTGCTAGGAAAAATGCATCAAAGAAGAGAATAGAGGTAAGGCTTGATTAGAAATAAATCATCTTGCTTTATACTTTCTGATAATCTTTTGTGTTAGGCTAAAAATTTTGAGCAGTTAGTACACTCTAGAGAAACAGCAGAGAGCTCCCTTGATAAGGATAAGGTAAAATGCATTTTAATCATGTACCAATCCTATCAGATGATGAAGTCAAAGAATCCCTTTGATTTCAAACACCTTCTAGCTTTATCGACGGCTATGGAGAAGCTTAGGAAGAAATAAATCCTCTGGCATTTGCATGAAAAGTATTCATTTTTCAATATAATAAACAACAGGAGGGGTTTTGGGGTTTTGGGGTTTTGGGGG